TCAATATCAACCCTAACTTCTAGAATTACAACACTAGATAGAGGAATTACATGATTCAACAACTTAATAAACATAAACATAATCAATTGTCAAGCTTACATTATCATTCAAGTCATACCTTAGTTCATAATTTGGGAAGAAGGGGAAATCATGGTTCCCAGGGAGATTTTCATCAAAACCCAACAATAATCCATTAATCCAACCATAAATAATCATAATTAATCATAATAAACCATAATTAAACAATTGAAATCGTTTTGGAAGAAGACCCATGACTAGATGAAAACCCTAGGTTTTGGAAGTCTTAAAAACATACTTTGAAGGGACTTCTTGGGGGATAGCTACCCAAGAATGAAAGGCATCCATACCTTAGAGAGATTTCCACACAAAATTGAGGAAGAAAGGCTTGTTCTTGAACCCCTAGGTTGACCATGAACTTGTTCTTCAATGGAGTTTTAGAGAGAGAATATTTTGAGAGGGAGGTTGGTTGAGTTTGAGACTTGTGAATTATGAGGTCTTAAGTTAGGTTTAATGACTTAGAAGTATTTATATTAGTCTAAAATAACTAATAATAACCGTCCCCACCCTTAATTAATTAGGAATTTATTGTAATGTTTGACCCTTAGCCGATTTGCAACAGCTTTAGCAGACCCCTACCCACGAAACCCCCACATACGGTCCATAGGTGGGGTGACGCCCCGTTCTGGTACTTTGTTGTTTGGGTCACAGAGGGAGGAAATTAGAGGACCTAGGGAAAAACTAAGTGTTGACCCACGACCCCCACCTATGGGGCGTGAGTCAACCTACGACTCGTAGGTGACCCTCTCGTAGGTCATGCTGTTTTAACAGCTTTTTGGACATCCCCTTGGGCCTCCTCAAGGACCCTTGGAGGGTCCTTGAGGGGCCATGCCTTGACTTTTAGACACTAGCACCTTAGTACTAAGTTAGGGAAGTTATTTTACGACTCTTATCATGACGTTAACCCTTTTTAGGACACTAAACTACATGTTAGGCTCTAGCTTAGATCATTAGATTTCCGGGGTGTTACATTATACCCCCCACCCCTTGGGAACATTCGTCCCCGAATGGTGATCTAGGCACCTAGCTAAGTTAGAAACTCTAGACTAACAGCCTATTATGCATGAAACATCAAAAATGTATAAAACTTACAAATACACTATTCACCTGATGCACTATTCAAAAGGAGGAAACTTCAACTCCATTTCAGAAGACAAAGTCAATGCAACTCAAGGAGGTAGGAACTACATCTACCAACCCAATATGCACAAAACTCGACAATTCACATAAACATGGGAGGAACTACCTTCTCCAACTTAAACAGGCTAAACACAACAATATGGCCAACATATTATTTCATCAAAACATAACTAAGCATGTTCATCATTTCACCTCATGAAGTTAAAAAAAATAATCATCATAACAAAATGCAAATCAACATGACAAACCTATAATTCATGAAAACTTAGTTTATACTAAACATTAATTCTCACAAGAATATGCACAACATAAGGAGATTATGGAAAACTCATACAATACACATGACTCCCAAAACACAAAAAACTCAAGAGGAATTACTTTCCTTAAGTTTGGACAGGAGTAGAAGGAAAAAGATGAGGATAACGGGACTTCATATCGGCCTCGGCCTCCCATGTAGCACCCTCAACTAAGTGATTCCTCCATAAAACCTTAACAGAGGCTACTTCTTTATTTCTCAACCTCTACACTTGCCGGTCCAAAATCTCTACTAAAACCTCTTCATAGGATAGACTCTTATCAACTCCTACTCTAAAGGTATGATAGATACCATATCACCAATGCACTTTTTAAGCATGGAAACATGGAACTCCGGTTGAACCGAAGCCAATTCATTTGGTAAGTCTAATTCATATGCAACTTCACAACACGTTTCAAGACATGATATCGGCCCACATACGAGGGATTAAACTTCCCCTTCTTACCAAACCTCATCACACCCTTCATAGGTGAGATTTTCAAGCAGACCCAATCACCAATTTCAAACTCTAGATCCCTCCTTCTATTATCGGTATAAGACTTTTGCCGACTATGGACCGTCTTCAACCTATCTCTAATAAGTCGAACTTTTTCAATAACATCATTAACTAGTTCAGGACCAATTAAATCAAATTCACCTACCTCAAACCACCCAACGGGAGACCTACACCTTCTCCCATAAAGTGCTTCAAACGGAGCCATGGTAATGCTAGAGTGGTAACTATTATTGTAGGCAAACTCAATCAATGGGAGATGGTCATCCCAACTACCCTTGAAATCAATCACACATGCTCTCGACATGTCCTCTAACGTTTGAATGGTCCTTTACGCTTGACCATCCGTTTGAGGGTGGAAAGCGGCACTAAGTTTAACAATGGTACCAAGCCCTTTTTGGAATGCCTTCCAAAAATGTGAAGTAAATTGCGTACCCCGTTCCGATATGATAGATAAGGGAACCCCATGCAACTTCACTATTTCATTAATGTACAGTGCCATAGTCTTTCGCCGAAAATAAAGTCCCGACCGGAATAAAGTGGGCTGATTTAGTCATCCTATCAATAATGACCCAAATGGAATCATGTTGCCTTCGAGTACGAGGCAAACCCACAACAAAGTCCATATTCACATCCTCCCACTTCCAAGTGGGAATCTCTATATATCGGGACAAACCTCCTGGTTTCTTATGTTTGGCCTTAACTTGTCGACAATACGGACATTTAACCACAAAACCTGTTATATCCTTTTTCATGCCATTCCACCTATAGGCTTCCCGTAGATCATGGTACATCTTGGTGGCTCCCGGATGAATAGAATACCGCAAACCATGTGCCTCTTCTAAAATTTGCTCTCTCAAGCCATCAACATCCGGAACACATAATCTACCTTGGTACCTAATCACGACATCCCCCCTGGGAGAAAGCCTCAACGGACTTGTTGAGAATTGATTATTTCAACTTTATTAATATGGGATCAAGGTGTTGTTTAGACTTCACATCAATCACAAAGGACGATTCGGAACTATGATGGATCATAACTCCACCCTTGGTGGAATCCACTAGTTGGACACCCCACCGGGCCAACCTATGCACATCACGAACCAATTCCTTTTTCTCATCTTCTACATGAGCCAGACTACCCATGTACAATCTACTTAGGGCATCCGCAACTACATTAGCTTTGCCGGGATTGTAAAGGCAACTCATGTCATAATCCTTCAAAAGCTCTAACCACCTTCTTTGTCGAAGATTCAAGTCTTTTTGGGTAAACACATATGAAGGCTCTTGTGATTGGTGAAGACATCTACATGGACCCCATAAAGGTAGTGCCTCTAAATTTTCAAGTCAAACACCACCGCCACTAATTCGAGATCATGAGTCGGATAATTATTTTCATGTACCTTGAGTTGCCTTGAAGCATAGGCAATCACTTTACCCCGTTGCATAAGGACACATCCCAAACCCACTCGAGAAGCGTCACAATATACCACAAACCCATCGGTACCCTCCGGTAAGGTCAAGACCGAAACAGAAGTAAGTTTATCTTTCAACTCTTGGAAGCCTTTCTCACAAGCCTCCGACCACACAAACTTAGCCTTCTTTTTAGTTAAGGTCGTCAATGGAGAAGCAATGGAGGAAAAACCCTCAACAAACCCCCTATAGTAATTGGCCAAACCCAAAAAGCTTCTAATATCGATAGGAGTTAGAGGTCTAGGCCAACTCTTGACTGCCTCTGTCTTCTTGGGATCTACCTTAATACCCATACCCAACAAAATATGACCAAGGAAAGCAATCGATCTTAGCCAAACTCACACTTGCAAAACTTGGCATACAGTTGGTGTTCCTTAAGGACTTGCAATACAATCCTCAAATGCTTCATATGATCATCCTCACTCCTTGAATAGATCAAGATATCGTCAATAAAAACTATCACAAATGAATCAAGATATTCCCTAAACACCTTATTCATTAGGTCAATGAATGCCGCCGGGGCATTTGTTAACCCAAACGACATAACCACAAATTCGTAGTGACCGTACAGGGTCCTAAAGGTTGTCTTAGGAATGTCACATCCTCTTACCCTTAATTGATGGTCACCGAAACGAAGATCCATTTTGGAGAAAAAGTTAGCCCCCTGGAGTTGATCAAACAAATTGTCAATCCTAGGAAATGGATACTTATTCTTTATTGTGACCTTGTTCAATTGGCGGTAATCAATACACATCCTAAGGGACCCATCCTTCTTCTTTACAAACAATACAGGATCACCCTATGGAGATATGCTTGGTTGAAAAAAACCCATTTCTAACAAGTCCTTGAGTTGTCCCTTCAATTCCTTTAATTCGACAAGAGCCATCCGGTAAGGGGGAATGGATATGGGCTGTGTATCCGACAAAAGATCAATGCCGAAGTCTATTAACCGTTCGGGAGGAATACCAGGCAAGTCATTAGGGAAGACTTCCGGATACTCACTCACTACGGGGACCGACTCCAAAGAAAGAGTCTCGGACTCAACGTCGATAACCCTAACAATGTGATACATTCACCCCTTTGAGATCATTTTTCTATCTTTTAGACATGAAACAAAATGACCCCTAGGGATGGAATTTCCCCCCTTCCATTCTGAAGTAGGTTCATTTGGAAATTGAAACTAAACCACTCGGGTTCTACAATCAATAGATGCAAAACAAGTATGCAACCAATCGATCCCCAAGATGACATCAAAGTCCAACATATCTAATTCTACTAAATCGACCAAAGTGAATTTAAGGAATAATGAAATAACACAACTCATATAAACTCTTTTAGCTACAACCAAGTCACCCACCGGGGTAGACACCGAAAAAGGTTCTAGTAACTCTTTGGGGAGTATTTCAAATTTCATAGCCACAAAAGGTGTAACAAAAGATAAAGTGGCCCTGGGGTGTAACAATGCATAAACATTAATGGAAAAGACTTGCAACATACCCGTTACCAAGTCCGTGTCCCCTCGGGATTGGAGAGCATAGAAGTGATTATTCTTGGGAGCATCAGAATTTGAGCCACTTGGAGGGACTTGCTTGCCCTATCTCCTTGAACCTTTAGCATAGGATAATCTCTCTTCATATGACTACTCTTCCCATAACTAAAGCAACCATCTATGCCAACTAGGAACTTGCCTTCATGCTTCTTGCCACAGTTTGCACAACTAGGTCTTTCAACATAAGAGCCACCACTATTACCTCCTTGTGGCTTAGGGTTAGACTCCCTATCTTTGTTGACCCTTGGAGTGCTAGAGAAGCCTTGGTTGGAAAACCTCTTCTTGAACCTTGGTTTACCTTGAACCTCAAATCTACCCTTGCCCTCTTCACTTCTCTACTCACTTGCTAGAGCTTTTTGTTCCTCAATTTATTCGGCATGAACCATAAGATGTGAAATATTCATACTTGGGATGAGCATTGTCGAACGACATTCGTTGACCACCAACTCGGATATCCCCATTACAAATTTTTTCATCTTGGCCCTCGAGTCCGCCACTAAGGTTGGAGCATGCTTACACAATTGGGTAAACTTAAGGCTATATTCTTTCACACTCATACCTCATTGGCGAAGGTTGATGAATTCTTGCATCTTTTTCTCCCTCAATTCTAGGGGGCAACCTATCAAGGAAGGTCGACTTGAAAACTACCCAATCAACCGGGCCCACTCTCACGGGTCTCTCATCCTTCCATTGCTCATACCAAACTTGAGCCACATCCTTCAATTGGTAGGCGCCTAACTCCGCCTTCACTTGGGATGACACCCCCATAGCATCAACCACCTTAAACATTTCTTCTATAAAGCCTTGTGGGTCCTCATCCACATTGGAGCCATAGAATGTAGAGGGATTCATTCTTGTGAAATCACTAATCCTTGAAGCGGTTGTTCTTGCATCCAGTTCACATGAGCTCTAGCATCCCTAGGGACTTGAGTTGCTAAAACATGGGTCAAATTTTGGATAGCCAATCTTATCTCCTCATTGGTCATGGCCCCTTCATCATTAGGAGCTTGAGGAACTTGAGTCCCTTGAGGACCTTGGGGAGGAACTCCCTCATCAACAATCTCCTCTTCCATCCTTCTTGCGGCCACTCTTCTTGTAGTCATATTCCTATATGCACAAGAAAAGGGTTAGGAAAAGGACTTCATAGAGTTAAAACTCTAAGGCACGACAAAAGAGTAGTGAAAGAAGTGAAAAGTTCCTAAACATCTTATAGCCTCTCATTCATAAGTGTGGCACACTTCACACTTATGAACAAGACTCTACTAGACATGGTTCATGAGACATCATCCTAGAATCATTCTATAACCTTGTTCTCTGATTACCAAGTTTGTCATGACCCGGGGTTACCCCCTAGAAGTAACATGGCATACTTGATCCCGAAGGGGTCTCATACAAGCCCTTAGCATAATCATAACATAAAGACAGAATAATTGGGAAAATTTAAAACTTTTACAATAGAAGTCAACTTCTTCTTCATAGACGAAAACAAGGATCTAGACTTGTCTCAATCACCATCTAGTACATAAAGAGTACACATAGGGTCAAAAGCCCTTTATATCAGTAAAGTCTCAAAAATGGAAAGTACATAAAACTAAGAAATGATAACATCTTGCCTCAAACTTGAGGACTCACCAAGCGTAGGTAATAGACAAGCCAAGCTTCACTTGAAGGAAGTAATATGTCTCAATGATCGGAACCTACACTAATAGAATGTAGAAAATATGGGTTAGCACAATTGATGTACTAAGTATGGAAGCCATGCACAAAATCCTTAAAGCATGCATAAAACGGACATTAAGTTGAAATCATGCCTTTATCAAGTTTAGAAACCATAATGCACATTTATGAAGGAACATAAGTCAAACCAGCATACAAGCAATCCAAAGCCATACTAGTGCAATGCAAAGGTAAGAACCCATAACCCTACCAAATGCTAAGTACGACATTTAGGTCATCACAACATACATATTTTACTTTACCTTATTCATATCCAACATACATAAGTAAGGAACCAATCATATTCATAACTTGTAACAAGTGAAATCGACCTTAACATTCATACATACCTTTCATACATAATTCATAAGCCTTCATTAACATAAGAGAACCTCACCATGACCCCTCTTAAAGTCTACTTGAGCAATGCATAAGTGAAGTCCCATACCCCCACTCATACTAAGTAGTACCCCTTAAGTCATCATAATTAAAGCCCATGTTCTTACCATAGTTCATATTCATATCATATAGGGAAAATAGCATTAACCGACATAGACCATATGAGCTACATAGAATCTGGTGTTCTACCCCTACACCGGAAAGAGGTGTCCTACTTGCCTAAGGTGAGCTTTCATAATAGCTTTTAGGTTGATCCACTAGATAAATACTTATCTGGGCACATAGTTATGGGATATGGGGAATGTTACTAGAAACCCAGACTACTAGCGTAAAAAGTTTCCATCCCATGAGACAACATACATTGGGAACCCGGACTTGCTAAACGTAAATTCCCCCATCTCATTTTTATATCCACTCGGTGCTAAGCATAATTCCCTTTAAAAGTCATATTAAGTCTTTACTTAACTAAGATATTCAAGAAATAATGCAGTAGGCACTCAACCAACATAATAACATAATAGCTCATAGATTCATAGGGTGACCATGTCCTTTCAACCTTAGAATTATCAACATGTGAGTAAGCTTTTCAGATCATATTCATAGTGTGTTCATGAGAATGACATTTCAATCAACACAACAAGCTTATCATAAACATACATACTTCATGCATAATCAAGTGTAAAGGGTATAGGGAATAAGGATCTTGCATCAATGCCACAATTACATAATAGTCATAGAATCATCATTATCTAAGTGAATCATGAGTTCATATACAATCTTCATCAACATACACAAACCCTAGTTATTGCCCTTCAAGGCTAGGAATCAAGATCAACCCTAAGTTCTAGAATTACAACACTAGATAGGGGAATTACATGATTCCATCACTTAATAAACATAAACATAATCAATTGTCAAGATGACATGATCATTCAAGTCACACCTTAGCTCATAATTTGGGAAGAAGAGGAAATCATGGGTCCAAGGGAGATTTTCATAAAAACCCAACAATACACCATTAATCCAACCATAAATCATCATCATTAATCATAATGAACCATAATTAAACAATTGAAATCGTTTTGGGGGATAGATACCCAAGAATGAAAATAATCCATACCTTAGGGATATTTCCACACGAAATTGAGGAATAAAGGCTTGTTCTAGAACCCCTAGCTTGACCTTGACCTTTTTCTTCAATGGAGTCTTAGAGAGAGAATATTTTGAGAGGGAGGTTGGTTGAGTTTGAGTCTTGTGAGTTATGAGGTGTTAAGTTGGGTTTAATGACTTATAAGTATTTATATTAGTCTAAAATAACTAATAATAACCGTCCCCACCCTTAATTAATTAATTAGGAACTTATTGCAATGTTTGACCCTTAGCCGATTTGCAACAGCTTTAGCAGACCCTACCTACGAAACCCCCACCTACAGTCCATAGGTGGGGTGACGCCCCATTTTGGTACTTCGTTGTTTGGGTCATAGAGGGGGAAAATCAGGGGAGCTAGGGAAAAACTAAGTGTTGACCCACGACCCCCACCTACGGGGCGTCAGTCAACCTACGACTCATAGGTTCCCCTCTCATAGGTCATGTTGTTTTTAACAGCCTTTTGGACATCCCCTTGGACCTCAAGGACCCTTGTGGGGCCATTGGGGGGGGGGCATGCCTTGACGTTTAGGCACTAGCACCTTAGTACTAAGTTAGGGAAGTTATTTTACGACTCTTATCTTGATGTTAACCTTTTTTAGGACACTAAACTACATGTTAGGCTCTAATTTAGGTCATTAGATTTCCGGGGTGTTACAAGTTTCTAGTAATGTCCTTTGGTTTAACTAACGCTTCAGCAGCGTTCATGGACTTGATGAGTAGAGTATTCCGACAATATCTTGACATGTTTGTGATAGTGTTTATCGATGATATTTTGATCTATTCAAGGAGTGAGAATGAGTATATCAACCATTTGAAAATTGAATTGCAAGTTCCTAAGGACTATCAACTTTTTGCAAAGTTTAGCAAGTGTGAATTTTGGTTGAGGTCCGTAGCATTCCTTGGACATATTTTGTCAAGTAGGGGTATTGAGGTGGATCCTAAGAAGACAGATACGGTCAATAGTTGGCCAAGACCTCTAATTCCTTCGAACATTAGAAGTTTTTTGGGTTTAGCCAGTTATTATAGGAGATTTTTTGAGGGTTTTTATTCCATTGCTTCTCCTTTGATGGCTTTGAGTCAAAAGAAGGCTAAGTTTGTGTGGTCGGAAGCTTGTGAGAAAGTTTTCAAGAGTTGAAAGATAGACTTACTTTCGCTCCGGTGTTAACTTTACCCAAAGCTACGGATGGATTTTTAGTATATTGTGATGCCTCTAGAGTTGGGTTGGGATGTGTGCTTATGCAAAATGGTAAGGTGATTGCCTATGCCTCAAGGCAACTTAAAGTCCATGAGAAGAATTATCCTACCCATGACCTTGAATTAGCGGCGATTGTTTTTGCCTTAAAGATATGGAGGCATTATCTATATGGGGTTCATGTTAATGTGTTTACTGATCACAATATCTTACAATATGTATTTAGTCAAAATTGAATCTTCGACAAAGAAGGTGGTTAGAATTATTGAAGGAATATGAAATGAGTGTTCATTATCACCCCAGCAAGGCCAATGTGGGCCGGATGCTCTTAGTCGTGTCACGCCTCATATCTGATTAAGACGGACAGGCACCCGATGTCTAAATGGCCCGGGAGAACCAACTTACAACCTGCACTTACCATACATTTAACTATGATAACTATGAAGCTATGACAAGCTTATATGCCCTGTAGTGATAAAAGACAGACATAGACAGACCCAAAACTTATGTACAACACTTGGCCGTTGAGGCCATAATTGTTAAGAGACAAGACACAACCAAACTTTAAACATTAGTCTACAAAGCCTCTACAAGATAGACAACCTTAGTTTAGGTCGGGACAAGGCCCGGCCTTGCCCTTAACTACTGTACAGTAACAAAATAGATGCCAAAGACTCAATTAAGCCCCGTATCAACTTGGAGCTCACCAATAGCAGCTGAGTGTCCTGTGCTCCAACTGGGGAGGTCTACTAGCTGGAGTACCTGTGGCTGCAGCATGAAATGCAGCGTCCCCCGAGAGGGACGTCAGTACGAAGAATGTACTGAATATGTAAGGCAATAACATATATAAACAAGAGCTCAATTGTAATCAAGTATCAATATGTAAATGCATAGATCAGATTAAAGACCACCCAAAGCTGTTGTGGGATCATGTACATGATATTCTTTTTTGTAATTTTCTTTACATTGCGATCTCTGTAAAGCATGTGATACAAATAACCAACTGATCAGTGGTAAAAGAGGATGACTCATGCTAGGCATTTTAACCCCTGAGATGCTGTCCTCAAATATATAATTTTGGGATCGACCCATGCTAGGCTTCCACCCCTAGGCTGCCACCCTTATAAACAAATTGGGATCAACCCGTGCTAGGCTTTTGCCCCTGGGCTGCCACCCTTACACATATACCGCTTCATATAGTTTCTTTAGTCTTTGAGATTGTTGTTTTGGTGGTCATAATTATTTTTGAGCATCAGAACTGTAGATCAGTAGTAGGAAACATGTGAATATGCACTTAGGGCAGTAACAATAACACAAGATGGAAATGTAACACTAATGAATTACATATGAGCTCAAATGACACAATGGACCTCATTTGATTGATAGGAGGAATCAC